ACAAATAATCGATTATTGCAGCAAGGCATCCCATTTTGCATGTTACTGGAATAATCGATTATATTTAATGATAATCGATTATTTTGAGTTAGTTTTCAAAACTTTGTTTTAAGTCTCAAAATAACTTCTTAACCCTTTTAACTCATCATCATACACTCTCTAATCAGTTCAGATATAGATTTAGCTTATGCACACAGCACACACAACAAATAAACTCAATCAAAACATTTTATAAACTATTTCCTATTACATAGCACTTTCTTTTGACTTTGTTTTTGCCTTCTAAGTTGTTGTTGTCCTTGGCACAATCAAGATTGAGAAATCTTCCTTGCATCACATGGGGATGCTCAAACAGGAAGACAAGTGGGTATTCAAGGGAGATGTACCTCCAACCCCTGAACCGGCGACTGATGAAGACGGCGTTCCATCACATGATGAAGATCAGCCACCACAGGTTGAAGTTAAACCTGACCGGGAGCAAGAAGCGGAGCCTAAGCTATTCTCTCCATTCGAGCAAATTATGATAAATAAGCTTGATGTTGTGATGGAGATGTCTAGAAGGCATGAGTCATTGTTTTCTAGTATTCTTGATAGGTTTGATGATCTTAATCGTGAGGTGAACCGACTCAAGACTCACCTAGGCATACCTGAAGAATCGGAGTGATTTATGCCTTGTTTTGCTGATCAGTGTTAATTAGGAAGTTTAAATTCTGTTTTTAAATTTTCATTTCAATTTGGTTGTAATATTGTTAATTCCAGAACAATTTTATCGCTTTATGATGTTGAACAATTTAATTTCAGGTGAAATTTGAAGTTTAAATTGCTTATATGTTGGTTTGGATGGTGTGACAAATTTTGATTTGGTTGGTTGATGCTATCTGAAGTTACGGGAAAGATCAGCGTAATTTTTCCTAACAGGTCTGATTGAGGTAATGGTGTTTAAGTCTTGTTTATGTGTTTATCAACATCAGTTGTTGTTCTTTATGGATTACTGATTCCTTTGGTTTTTATTGATTTTTTTTTCAGTGATTTAATGTACTGCTGTTAATCCGTTATTATTCTTTGACTTCCGTAGTTAAACTAGGATTGATAATTTTGGATCAAGTGGTTTGTTGGAGTTGAATGAGCCACAGTGCGTGACTGATATGCTTGTTTGGTTTCTGTAGTAGATAGGAAGCCGATGCCATCTTCAACTTTTTTAAGCATTCTAGGATCTTATTGACTATTATTAAAATCATTATTATCTGGGGGAAAAAGATCATGAAACTAACAGAAACTTGATTTCTTGCCAAGTGGTTTAGAGTGGCTCTTGAAACTTGTGGGTTCCAAGAGTCCTATTTTGTCACTTGTTAGTGATTCTCTATGATAAATATTGATAACCGACTATTTTGAAAAAAATATTAATTTGTTGGGTTTATCATTCTTTAATATATGAGTTAAGAGAGGAGGTCACAAGTTTCCATATTCATGATGTTTAGTTTATTGCTTTTCCAGAGATAGTTGATTATTTCTCGGACAATGAACAACCAAGATGAAGGACCTGTCACCCAGCCAGAAAAAAGCAGGATTGCCCCTATGGCAATCGTGTTGGTGGTGCTATGTGGATTTTCTTTCTATATGAGTATACTCTTTTGTTCTGAGAAGAACAAATTTCTGTTAATTTACAGCCAAAAATCCATTGAAAACCGCGAGGAGTCATCAATAAGACCTCTGCAAATTAAATACATGAGTTTTCCTGAATGCAGCATTGACTTTCAAGATTACACTCCATGCACAGATCCAAGGGTAAAATTACTAATAGTCCATATTTTTATGCTATATGACTTGTAGAAGAAAGTTTCCTTGTTATGTATGTATGCTTTAATTAACAGAGATGGAAGAAGTATGGCTCCTATCGGCAGACTCTCTTGGAACGCCATTGCCCTCCAAAATTTGAGAGGAAAGAATGCTTAGTTCCTCCCCCAGACGGATATAAGCCTCCAATTAGATGGCCAGAGAGCAGAGATGAATGTTGGTACAGGTATAATATAGATGTATTATAAGTTAACAACAAAAGGTTTGCTTAATTTAAATTTCCTGTAAATGTAATTGACATTTTGTCACTCCTTCATGTCATCTGTTATGTCTAATTTCAGCAATGTTCCAAATGAGTGGATTAACAAGCAGAAGTCCAATCAGCATTGGTTGAAAAAGGAAGGGGAGAAATTCACCTTTCCTGGTGGGGGTACTATGTTCCCCAATGGTGTTGGTAAATATGTTGATTTAATGCAAGATCTAATCCCTGAAATGAAAGATGGGACTATCCGAACTGCCATTGATACTGGTTGTGGGGTGAGTTTTATATTTTCTCCTTTCCTTTAATTATATAGGGATTGGCCTGCAAATAATAATTTCCAGATTTCCTTCATTAACTATAAATTTCTAGTTTAACTACACATGCTGATTCCATTAGTGGTGCCTTTTTAACTGCTGCACATATATATTTTAAAACCAATTTACTTTATACCTGAAAACAGAATCAATTAATTTTAGTTGTGCAAGTAAAACACCCATCCATTAAGAGGGTTAGGAGGGGGAACGGGGCATTAAAATACTATGTATTCTTCACCTACATCACTGTTCTTGTATCTTTTTGATACTAAACTAAGGGTTTGGGAAGTGCCAGTAATATGATTCCTATTTCATTACTCTAATTCTGATCGAGTCCTATTACTCAAGCATGTTATAGACAAGAGTTACACCAGTTAATCCACATAACTCCACTTTAGGTTGCTAGCTGGGGTGGTGACTTGTTGGATCGTGGGATTCTAACTCTTTCTCTTGCACCAAGAGATAACCATCGAGCTCAGGTTCAATTTGCTCTGGAGCGTGGTATCCCTGCAATTCTTGGTGTCATTTCTACACAGAGACTTCCATTCCCATCAAACTCCTTTGATATGGCTCATTGCTCCAGATGCTTAATCCCATGGACAGAGTTTGGTACCTTTTTCTATGGATTTTGAAATTTAGTATTTAAATAGAATTTATTCCTGTTTATGCAACAGTTTCTAGTGATCGGTATGTAGCTGCTTAAATTTTTAAATTTCATGCATCTGCTGTAAATACATTGTTTCTTTGAAATCAGGGTGATAACTTGTTTTCAATGAGCACCTGGAATTTTAGATCTTAGTTGGCAACTTTTTACTACTTTGCTTTTAGTAAAGGTGAAGCCACCACTATTCGAGTTGTTGTTTCTTGTCCTGATAAGCGTGATTGTTTTATAAAATGGTAAACAGTATACCCTTGAACTAGATCCCACATGCCTGTCAAGTTCATTCTAATCTTACCTCATCGATGATTTGTTTTTTGTTTTCTGCTAATCTTTTCTGCTTTGAGTTGAGAAGTCCACTCTAAAATTCTCGTTCTTTTTGACGGGTATCTGATCTTAGGCGGTATTTATCTCCTTGAAATACACCGGATTGTTCGTCCTGGAGGATTTTGGGTCTTGTCTGGTCCACCCATTAATTATAAGCGCAGGTGGCGTGGATGGAACTCCACTGTTGAAGCACAAAGATTAGATTATGAGAAGTTGCAGGAATTGCTTACTTCATTGTGCTTCAAAATGTACAAGATAAAGGGTGATATTGCTGTATGGCAGAAGGCTTCAGATAACAATTGTTATAATAAGCTAGCTAGAGATACATATCCACCTAAATGTGATAACAGCCTTGAACCAGATTCAGCTTGGTATACTCCTCTTCGTGCCTGTATTGTGGTTCCAGATCCTAAGTTTAAAATATCAGGTCTGTCATCCATTTCTAAGTGGCCTGAACGGTTGCACGTTACACCAGTACGGATTTCAATGGTTCATCGTGGGAGTGCTAGTGCTTTCAAACATGATGACAGTAAGTGGAAAAAGCAGACTGCGTATTACAAAAAGTTGATTCCTGACCTTGGGACTAACAAGATACGAAACATAATGGACATGAATACAGTATATGGAGGTTTTGCTGGAGCCTTGATTGATGATCCTGTGTGGGTCATGAATGTTGTCTCATCATATGCTGCCAATACACTTCCTGTGGTTTTTGATCGAGGCCTAATTGGAACCCTCCATGACTGGTAATTTGGAAATATATTGAATATGAACCATAAGGCTTTTTGGTCATGAACATACTTTTGTCTTGTAAGATCTGATGTTGATTTGATTTTTTATGGTAGGTGTGAAGCTTTTTCAACATATCCTCGAACCTTTGACCTACTTCATCTTGATGGACTCTTCACTGCAGAAAGCCACAGGTGATTATGAGTCTGTTTGAATATTAAGCTTAAAAGCGTTTTTTAGAGTTTTTATATTGAAAAATACTGTTTATTTTTAGTAATGAAGTTCTCAAAGTGCTTGTAGCTAGTATCCAAATAGACTTTATGTCAACTCATTTTCATAGACTACCAATTGATAATTTAATAACATATAATACTGAACATAGAAATCACACACAATACATCAATACATTAGTTGTCCAAGCGACTAAAGTCTGCAACAAATAATATTTTCTGTTTAGGAACTGCAAATAATAATATACTCGCCTAACTATATATCCTACTATAAGATATACTCCTAATACATAACTTCCATAAGTTATTTTATATAAATTACATTCATCAGGCAGTTTCTAAAATTTTTAAAATTTATTGTATCTTTGACAATGTATTCCATATTTTTTCTGGTAATATGTTCTAATTACCAGAGTAACACAATGACTTATCTAATCCTTTTCAAGTATTAGAATATTTAGTTTAATCCGATAGAAATGACATTAGTTGACTTACAACAACAACAACAAAGCCTTATCTCACTAGGTGAAGTCAACTACATGGATAATTCATTCAGTTCAATTAAGACCAACATTTTAGAGATGTTATTTAATATTTACCTTGTGATCCCTCTTGAGTACTTTCTCCAATATCCTTCTTGGCCTCCCTTTCCTCTTCACTGAATTAAAAACCATATAATCTACATCGAATTGAACTGCATATTTAACTTGAACTTTATATTATTTGTATTAATGGCTCACACTAAACTTATGTTCTTAAATATGCCCGAACTGCTTTGACAATGATTGTTACATGGTAGGTGTGAAATGAAGTATGTGTTGCTGGAAATGGATCGAATCTTACGACCTAGTGGGTATGCAATCATTCGTGAATCTAGTTATTTTACGGATGCTATCACAACCATTGCTAAGGGTATGCGTTGGGAATGTCGTCAAGAAGATGCTAAGAATGATAGTGACATTCAGAAGATATTAATATGCAAGAAAAAGCTATGGTATTCATCCAACCAGAGTTCAAGATGACAAATTATGGAACTTGCACAGTGACATTTGCTCTTGATGAATAAAAAATTCATGGAATAATAGTCACACTTACTTTTCCACATCATGTTTAGGCATAATCATAAGAGATTCAAGTATCCTTTTAATATATGTTGATTAAAAGATTTATCATGTTAATACTAATGGGATTTCCTCTTTATGAGGAGAAAAAAAGGAGAGATAAATAATAGCAAATGGAAAGAAAGGTACGAAAGATTTTTAAGGAACTTAATGAAAAAGAGAAGGAGAAAAACTCTCCTTAAACTATGGCCATATTTTATTACACATGTTGGCTATAAAAGTTGTGCATGTTTTCATTTCTATTAACATGTGCAAGAGAAACCAAAATGTAGAAAGTTTTGAGAGAGAGATAATATCATTGTTTGTAGGTGAAAGATAAATTCTTTCGAGAGAAAAATCTAAAAAAGAGTTTAACCAAAAATATTTTTAATGGGATTATTATTACAACTTTTGTAATCTCATTAATTTATAATAGAAGATATTTTTGTTGTATCATTGTGATTATACATAGTGTGGGAAAAGTTTGATCATGCGATTATCAATTATCCATTGAGATTATGTTTGGTATCTTTCCTAACAAGTGGTATTAGAGCTATGATTTATTATGCAGTTTAATTTGTTTTTATTCACAATGGACAAGTCAACCTTAATGTCATCATGAACAATGATTAAGTTAACTTCTTTAAACTACTCCATTTGCAAGTCTAGAATGGAAGACATCCTTTATTGCAAAGATTTGTACTAGCCTTTGCAAAATAAAGGAATAAAAGTCTAATGATGACTAGAATTTGATGAATAGGAAAACTGCTGGACAAATTTGACAATGAATAGATCAAAGTGTTTTTCATCATGCGGCGTAAGAAATAGTTGCGTTCATGTTATGGATGAGACTATAAATGTTGTATGAGAGAAAAGTGACCTAAAGTAAACCTCTACTATTCGGTGATTGGTGAACCTCAAGTATAAAGAGAGCTGAAGTGTTTTCGAATACTTTAGGGATTTTCAAGATTGGTAAATCAACTCACCAATATGAAGATAGTGTTTGACAATGAATTGCAAGCATTGTTACTACTAAGTTCCTTGCTAGACAATTAGGTCACACTTGTGGTTTCATCAAGTAACACAACACCCAAGGTGTTCTAACATTGGACATAGTAAAAGATAACATGTTTAATGAAGAATCAAGAAGAAAGGAACAAGGAATGTCCATAAAGTCTGAGACACTTGTCACAGAGTATCGTGGAAAAAACATCCATAAGAAGTTCAACACTACAGACAAGTAAGGGGGCAAATCAAAAGATAAGTTTAGAGGACGGTCGAGGGCAAGAAAAGATGAAGAATGTTACTATTGTCATGAGAAAACCCACATGAAGAAAGAATGCACGAAGCTTAAAAGAGAGCAATAAGCAAATGGTGATGTGAGTAATGTAGTCACTACCTTTTTTTCATGGAAATGAGGGAATCTTTGTTTGCGATGATGGTCATTTTAATTTGACATCACAAGATACATGTTGGCTCGTGGGTTTTGGTGTATCATTTCATCTAACCTCACGAAAGGATTTCTTTTCCTCCTATACAAATGGTGATTTTGGTCATGTGAGGATGGGAAATGATACTCGATCTACGATTGTGGGTAAAGGAGATGTTTGCATATAAATAAACACTTGTTGTCGCCTAACATTGAAAGATTTGAGACATGTCCTTGATATGTATCTCAATCCAATATTTATAGACCTATTAGATGAAGAAGGCTATATTGGTGTATTTGGGGATAGAAAATGGAAGTTAAAAAAAAGTTTCCAAGTGATAGCTCGAGTCAAGGAAGCATGTACTCTTTTTCTGATAAAAGCCAAAGTTAATAATGGTTGTGTTAATGTTTTTGAAGAAGACTCATCGGTCGAGTTATGACATAAACAACTCAAACATATGAGTGAGAAAGGACTTCAAATTCTAGCCAAAAAAGATACACTAGTAGGTGTGAAAGGATAAAAAATGTCACTTAAGCCATGTACATATTGGTTGGCCCAAAGGCAACATAGAGTTTCATTCTGCTACAAGGCCCCACATAGAAGACCAAATATTTTAGATTTGGTGCATTATGATGTTTATGGTCCAATGACCACCAATACTCATGGAAGTACAAGGTACTTTGTTGCCCTTATTGATGACCACTCTAGGAAGGTTTGGGCATATGCCCTAAAAACAAAAGATTCGGTGTTTGTAGTATTCAAATAGTTTCATGCTAGTGTTGAGTGAGAAACTAAAATTAAGTTAAAGTGTGCTCACACTGACAACATAGGAGAATTTATGGGAGCTTTCAAGACTTACTACATGAGTAATGGAATTCAACATAAACAATCTATTCTAAAGACACCTCAACATAGTGGAGTGGTTTAGAGGATGAACAAAACTATTATTGAAAGAGTGAGAATGTTGTTATTTCATGCCAAGTTACCCAAGAGCTTTTGGGGTGAGGCTCTAATGATTGCAGTTGATTTGATCAACTTATTCCCTTAAGCTCCATTGAATGGTGATGTTCCAAACAAATTTTGGACTGGTAAAGTGTATCCGACAACCATTTAAAGATGTTTGGTTATAGAGCATTTGTTCAAGTTCCAAAAGATGAGAGATCAACATTCAAGTTGAAGGAATGCATCTTCTTGGGATATGGAAATGAAGAATTTGGGTACTAGCTATGGGATCCTACTGATAAAAAGATTATTAGTAGCAGAGATGTTGTCTTATTTGAAGACTAGAATATTGAAGATATTTAGAAGGGTGTTAAGCATGTTAGTTCTAGAGAACATCCAATCAACTTGGATCTGGTTCATCTTCTAAAACATTACAAGGGAGATGCAATAGAAGATGTTGGAGATGTAGAAAATAAACCACAAAGTGATAACTATCCAAATGAAGTAGTTGATGGTAACAAGAGCAAGGTACCAATGATGATATGAATGAAGTCTATGAGGAAAAATAAGATATTCAAGAGCCCTAGTTAAGGTCGATCAATATGCCTGAACCACAAACCAAATATCTTGCAACGAAGTATGTGCTACTTCTGATGAAGGAGAACTAGAGTCTTATGAAGAAGCTATGTTGGATGACTATAAGGGAGAGTGGTTGAAAGCCGTGTAAGAAGAAATGCAATCCTTGCATGAGAACTAGATTTATGAGTTGGTAGAGTTACCGAAAGGTAAAAGAACACTAAAAACAAATGAGTGTACAAGTTGAAGAGTGATAAGAATAACTCATGACCTAGGTACAAGGAGAGGTTAGTCATGAAAGGCTTTAGTAAGAAGAAAGACATTGACCCAATGTAATAGTCAATTATCATTGTGCAATGATCAATTATTTCAAAGTCAGTACTTAATAATTATCAATTATCTTAGAAAATAATTGAATAAATTGTTCTTGACTGGTTTCTAGATTTACCAAGAACAAAATAATCAATTATCCATGAAGATAATTGATTATTTCTGACAAAGTTTTTTAAATTTCAATTTTCAAACTTAGATAAAAAAGAATTGATAAATTTGTATCTTTGTGACAGTCTTTGCAAAAAAGCGTCTATGAAATCTCTGCTCTCTTTGTAAAAAAATCCTTTGATCCTTTATGGACAATTTCAAGAAAGGATTTAAGAATCATCATCATCCAACTTGAGAGAAAGGCTAAACTACTATGAATAACAAATGCTTTAAATAATAGCCACATTTTTTTTAAAAATGATGAACATAATGCACATCTAATAATGGAAACATTTCTTTTTTCTGACTTTAGGAATTGTGGCAAATTTTTAGGGTTTTGATATCCTAAATTTTCTCTTGATGAATACTAGATGCTTTAAATAATAGCCACATTTACTTTTTGACGTCAAGGTAAGGAATAACGATAAAAAAGATATATATCATTTTCACTATATGTCTATTCAAAGATTCATCATGTAAATACAATTAAATTTTTGCAAATTCATAATCAAGGGCAATCATTTAGAGTTCATTGCCCTATTTTTTAAATGATGAACATAATATGAGAATCTCATTTTTTCAACTTCAACGACAAGAACAAATTTTTAGGAATGTAATACCCTATGTTTTCTCTTGACTTATTAAAAATGCTTTGAATAATAGTTACATTTATTTTTCGACATTAGAGTCAAGCATAATCATAAAAGGCTCATATACCTTTTTAACCATATATCGATCAAAAGATTATCATGTAAATACAATCGACATTTTTCGAATTCAAGATTAAGGATAACCAAAGAGTTTATTTATCCTTTTTTTTCAAATGATGAACATAATGTTCATCTAAGAATGAGAACCTCATTTTTTCTGACTTTAGGATCTATGAAATTTTTTAAGGATTTTATTAGCTGACTTTTTCTCTTGACAAATAACAAATGCATCAAATAATAACCATTTTTACCTTTTGACATCAAGGTCAAGTATAATGATAAAAGGTTCATATATCCATTTTATCACAATTGTATTAAAAGATCCATCATGTAAATACAACTTATTATTTTCAAATTTAGGATTAGGGACAAATATTTAGGATTTATTACTGTAATTTTTTCCAATGATGAACATAATGTTAATCTAATATTAGGAGCCTCATTTTTTTTTTACTTCAGTGACATGAACAAATTTATAGGATTTTAATATCCTATATCTTCTCATGATAAATTACAAATAGAGAAAATAATCGATTATCTTAAGTAAAAACTTAATATCTCGATTTTTCATATCATTTCTCTTTACAAATCAATTTTAATATATATCTAAGTCATCAATCATCATCTAGATAGAGATAAATTGCTAAGTTACTTACCAAGCACAAAACACACAAGCAACAAAGCTTAAAAGCACACAAAATAAGATACAACTTGTACTCTTGTTTATCAAGAGGCTCAAAACACAAAACCAATTACAAGTTGCACCCTTATCTCTCAAAAGGCTCATTTATAATCATCAAAATCAACTAGGATCATGCCTTCATCTTGAGCATGATCAACAAACTCCCCTTTTTTTTTATGATGACAAGTCCTCATTTCACTTGTTTTAACTCATCCAATTATACTATTATCCTTTTTTTAAATACCAAATTTTATTATCTTTTTGCTTCAACATTTTGTACACTTAACTTGCCAAACAATTACAAACCTTTCTCCTACTTTGGACATCATCAAAAACAAATCTATGCCAAGTTTAAAAGTCTAGAACTCAAGAGAAATATCATATACATTACAGATTATACCCAATATCAACCATTTGTTTTATACACTCAACATGTATACAGTGTATAAACCATACAAGTAGTGTAAACCATGAAAATTTTCAAATTCAAATCATGCTAAGTCATTATTAATTATAGTTATATTTCTTTAAAATCAACATGAAATTGTTTAAAGCATTCAAGCATTCATACTAATCCATGCTAAATTCATAAAACATCAAGATTTCAACCAAATCAAACCAAACTGAATTAAATTGTGCATAATATCAAGAAATTAAAGACACTACAAACCAAATTTTTCAAGAGTTAAA